GGCTGGGTGCTTGTGGTCGGGTTCCCGGCCGGCTTGTCTCCCACTTCTTTTCATTTGTCTCCCACTTCTTTTCTGCTTGTGGTTGGGTTCCCGGCCGGCTTGTCTCCCACTTCCTCTTATGTGTGTAGAAAAACTTCTTTTCATTTGTCTCCCACTTCTTTTCATTTGTCTCCCAGGCTGGGTGCTTGTAGTCGGGTTTCCGGGAGGCTTGTCGTGACCCCAAACTTTTTCCCCGAACAGTTTGCTGTCAAGATGTGTCCGCCCTTTGTGTCACTGCTGGTGTCCGCCATTTGCTGGTGTCCGCCCTTTTCCGCTGCCCATGTAGCATTTCTATTCGTTCGTCTCCCAGGTCGGTCACTGCTGGTGTCCGCCCTTTTCCGTTGGCCATGCAACATTTCTATTCATTTGTCAACATTTCTATTCATTTGTCTCCCAGGTCTGTCACTTGCGGTGTCCGCCCTTTTCCGCTGACGATTCATTTCTATTCATTTGTCTCCCAGGTCTGCCACTGCTGGTGTCCGCTCTTTTCCGCTGGCGATGCACCATTTCTATTCATTTGTCTCCCAGGCCTGTCACTGCTGGTGTCCGCCCTTTTCTGCTGGCCATATAGCATTTCTATTCGTTTGTCTCCCAGCCCTGCACTGCTGGTGACATTTCTATTCGTTTGTCTCCCATGTCTGTCACTGGTGGTGTCCGCCCTTTTCCGCTGTTTCTATTCATTTGTCCCCCATGCACTGCTAGTGTCCGCCCTTTTCCGCTGGCCTTGCAGCATTTCTATTCATTTGTCCCCCAGGCTTGTCACTGGTGGTGTCCGCCCTTTTTCGCTGTTTCTATTCATTTGTCTTCTAGGTCTGTCACTGCTGGTGTCCGCCCTTTTCCGTTGGCCATGCAACATTTCTATTCATTTGTCTCCCAGGTCTGTCACTGCTGGTGTCCGCCCTTTTTCGCTGGCCATGCAGCATTTCCATTCATCTCCCAGGTCTGTCACTGCTAGTGTCCGCCCTTGTCCGTTGGCCATGCAGCATTTCTATTCATGTGTCTCCCAAACCTCTCACTGGTGGTGTCCGCCCTTTTCCGCTGGCCATGTATTGCGAAGACAACAAACCAGGTTCTTGAGGTTTCATGAGGGACACTTGCACCTGTAGCAACCAGGTACCGTGGTCGGACCTTTCGGTTCGAATTTTAGGCCTTGAGCCTTCACCCATCCGCGAGCGTGAAAACGGTCGCGAGAGGGCTCAACGTTCTTGACACTGGTAGTGAGAGCCTTGTGCTTTAGTAGGTGAGCCATTGGCGCTTCGTCTTTGACCCCGCTAGAGCTGGT